ACTGGGGAACCTAGATGACACAGAGAAGATGAAGGAGGCAGATGATGTATCTGAATGATTCTGGACCCGACAGAGCTCTTTACGGATCTGAGCCAGAATCCTGACCGCATACTACCCTAAGGGTCCAAGTACCTAAAAATCATATACTCCCCTCAAATTTTAACTATCCGAAACCAAAGTACCTAGTTACTACGTCCTTTGGACCCTTGGGGCTAAGTCTACCACCCTAAGGGTCCATGTGCCGAAATAATATATACATTGCCCCCCCAAAGTACCTATATGGGGACTATTTTAAGGCCAAGTATATACTGTTTGGATACATGGCCTAAACCCTAAACCCTAAACCCTAAACCCCTAAACCCCTAAACCCCTAAACCCCTAAACCCCTAAACCCTAGACCCTTCCCCGTTTGGATACATGGACTCTCAGGGCTAGGGAAGGCAGCTGGGAGACCAAGGAGCGTGAAGCTCGACCCGGTGCCTGGACGGTTTAGGGCTTAATATAGGGGCCCTTACATCAGGGTTCAGGGTTTACGGTTCAGGGTACAGCCACGGCGTTAAGGTAGAGTTGAAGGTTGCGCTACACAGCCATGGTGAAGTTTATGGTTTGGGATTACCCTGAGTCTAGGACCTTTTCAGGTGGGTAGTTACCGTTACACTCCCCACCTGCAGTTTCCTTTAATTGAGGGTCCAAGGACCGGGCCCCGGTACCTGATAATCATACAGGTGGGGAGTTTAGGGTATATAGGGCTCCTTAAAGGGTCCCTTAAAAAGGGCCTCTTGAAAGCATCTGTAGGGTTTACGGTTTAGGGTTTAGTTGAAGGAAACTACAGGTGAGGAGTTTAGGGTATATAGGGCTTCTATCAGGCTTCCATAAGGTGTGTATATATATATATATAGACCGTCCATAAGGCTCCGAGAACGGTAACTACCCACTAGACAATACTGGGTTCTGGAGTACCATACTTGAATACTTTTTTTTGGGACCTGTTCCTTAAGGGAACCATTATGAAATTAAAGTCTATACTTTTTTCTCCCTGGTTACTTCAAAGTCCAGAATACCAACCTGCAAAAGCTACTATCCTAAACCCCGGTACCTTGCCATTGTGAGGGTTCGGGCTTGGGGAGTTTAGAGTTTAGGGAGTAGTAGTTCCTTAGCATCTAGGAATCGTGGGATTGCACCACCTGCAAGTGTGCACCTGAACAGTCAAAAGCTCCTGAAGCCTGCCCAGAAGGCGCGAAGCACTACAAAAGCAAAAGCCCAGTAATACGGAACTCGAATTTCTCCTGGCTGTGTCTTAGACCGAAGCATTACTCAATTTCATGCGCGCAAAAATGCTTGTGTTGTGTACTCAGAGGGGAAAGTACGTCCTCAGAGCTATCGCAGCATATGTTCATAGGTACACATACTAGCACACATAGTAGCAACAGCACGTACGAAAGCGCAAGTTTAATAACCAGCCGTTTCGAAAATTAGGGGGGTTCTCATAAAGTGGCCACAAAGCCCTATACAAACCTTAGAATATCCCTAAACCCCTAAACCCCTAACCCCCAAACCGCAATACCACGATCTCGGTCATAGCCAAGCCAGGTTCAGACTGGGACGAGTGCTACCAGAAAGCACTGTCTTTGCAATGCAGCTACCTCGAAGGCAGACTGCGGAACCCGAAGCCCTAAACCTCCAAACCTAAACCCTAAGCCCGAAATCCAGATCCACAACACCAACTGCAATAGGGGGTTTATTGGCTTAGGGCTTAGGCCTCGGAGGCAGATCTACAACACTGACTGGAAATATGGGTTTCAGGGTTTCGGGCTTGGGTCTGGGCCGGGGTTGTAGGGTTCAGGCCCTCGCGCGGGTTGTAGAATCCAAGGTGCGGAGCTCATATGGGAGTTTCCGAAAATGGTGGGTACCTTATTTTGGGGTCCTTATAATAAGGATCCTATTGTTTGGGGTACTATATTAGGGTTCCCTATTTTCGGAAACCCCCCATATTTCCGATGTTTCCAAGAATTCGGCAGGAGTGAGGGCTCGGGATTTCGGGCTTAGGCTTTGTTAGGGTTGAGGGTTTAGGGTTTAGGGTTTAGGTTTTGCTTAGAGATGTATCGAAGGGAGTCGAGGGACGCTGGAACTAGAGATGTAAGGCCTTGAAGGAAAGGATGGGGTTGTTCATCAGCTAGGTTCTCCAGTAGTACTTTTTTGTCCTTTTTGTTTTTGGGGCCCCTTATGAAACCCAAAGAGTAGGAAAAAGGGTGCCCTTATTGTTGGGGGTCTACTGGGGAACCTAGTCAGGAGTCTCATAATTTGTTTCTATAAGAATCTTGACAACCCGGTTCCAAACGGAGGCTCCTACAACAGGATCAGGCTTTTCAAGCCTGGTGCTGCTCTGGGTTCAGGGTTTAGGGCTTTAGGGTTTTAGGGTTTAGGGCTTTAGGGTTTTAGGGTTTTAGGGTCTAGGCTTTAGGGTTTAGGGTTGTAGGGTTTTAGGGTTTAGGGTTTTAGGGGACTGTGGGTATCTTCCTGGGGTTCCACAGCCTGCAAAGGGTTGAGGGTTTAGGGTTGAATCTAACCCCAAGGGTGCAAATTACCCTATAATTAGGTACTTGGGTTTGGGATAATAGCTATGTAGGTTACTATGTCGGAGAGTATATGATAATTAGGTACTAGGACCGTGAGGGTAAAGTCTATGAATACCTGGGCCCCGAATAACCTACCCCTTTACCGGACTTGTATAAGGAGATCATAGGAGAAGGAACACTAACAGGGAGGTTTGGGGAGGTTTGATAGTGTCTACGAGGTTCCCCAGTAACTACGGTTGATGATAGAAATCCTGCATGACCCATAAGAAGGAATATACCATAATTCCCATAGTTTAGGGTCCTTAAGGTAGTGCAGGATTTATATCATCAACCCTAAACCCTAAACCCTAAACCCTAAACCCTAAACCCTAAACCCTAAACCCTAAACCCTAGAACCCTTTTGCCTTTGTTCCCTAGGAAGCTTGAGGTTTCAGGATGCTTTGGGCTTCAGAGCTGTGAGAGATCAGCCCTGGGTCTGAGCCTACCACCTTAGGGTTTAGGGTTTAGGGTTCAGGGTTTAGGGTTTAGGGTTTAGGATTTGGGGTTTAGGGTTTGCGGTTCTGGGCTTTGGGTTTAGGGTTAGGGTATATGGTCCTCAATAAATAGTTGGGGTATTCAG